GGCTCAGCTGAATTAGATTTCAAAAGCCATAATCAGGGTGAGTTCAAGGAAACAAACCAAACCATCAAGTACTTTGAACCATGTGACTTATCCCTCAGTGAGTACACTCCTTGCGAAGATCGACAAAGAGGAAGAAGATTCGATAGGAACATGATGAAATATAGAGAAAGGCATTGTCCTTCAAAAGATGAGCTTCTCTATTGTTTGATTCCTCCTCCACCAAACTACAAGATTCCATTCAAATGGCCACAAAGCAGAGACTATGCTTGGTATGACAACATTCCTCACAAGGAGCTTAGTGTTGAGAAAGCAGTCCAAAACTGGATTCAAGTAGAAGGCGACCGGTTTAGATTCCCTGGTGGTGGAACTATGTTTCCACGTGGAGCCGATGCTTATATTGATGACATTGCTAGGCTCATTCCTCTTACTAATGGTGGAATCAGAACAGCTATTGACACTGGATGTGGTGTAAGTTTTTCAATATGAGTACACTTCTCCTTTCATTTTGTAACATTGTAATGATTTCATTGATTAATTTGATCCGTTTATTATTAGGTTGCGAGTTTTGGTGCTTACCTCTTGAAGAGAGACATTATGGCTGTGTCTTTTGCTCCAAGAGACACTCATGAAGCACAGGTCCAGTTTGCATTAGAACGTGGAGTTCCTGCGATAATCGGGATTATGGGATCAAGAAGGCTTCCTTATCCGGCTAGAGCTTTCGATCTTGCTCATTGCTCTCGTTGCTTGATCCCTTGGTTTAAAAATGGTAATGAAACTCAGTCTCTTACTGCTGATTTCGACCTTTTTCTGCTCATAGCTGATGAACCAAAATCTTTTGCAGATGGTTTGTATCTGATTGAGGTTGATCGGGTTTTAAGACCGGGCGGTTATTGGATCCTCTCGGGGCCACCGATTAACTGGAAACAGTACTGGAGAGGGTGGGAGAGAACAGAGGATGACCTGAAGCAAGAGCAAGATTCAATAGAAGATGTAGCAAAGAGTCTTTGCTGGAAGAAAGTGATTGAAAAAGGTGACTTATCCATTTGGCAAAAGCCTATGAATCACATTGAATGTAAAAAGATGAAACAACACAGCAAATCGCCTCCGATATGCAGCTCGGATACTCCAGATTTCGCTTGGTAAATCTCATCTCACTTCTCCTCAAACCTTAACTTTTTGAATGAGAAATAAACAAAAAGGGTCAAAACTTGACTTCTTTCTGGTTTCAGGTACAAAGACTTGGAATCTTGCATAACGCCATTACCTGATACAAGTAATCCAGAGGAATCTGCAGGCGGTGCGCTCGAGGATTGGCCGGACCGAGCATTCGCGGTTCCTCCAAGAATCATCAGAGGAACGATAGAAGGCATCAACACGGAGAAATTCAGAGAAGACAACGAGGTTTGGAAAGAGAGGATAGCGCATTACAAGAAGATAATCCCAGAGCTTTCACATGGAAGATTCAGGAACATAATGGACATGAACGCTTACCTCGGTGGATTCGCTGCATCGATGCTGAAATATCCCTCATGGGTCATGAATGTTGTTCCGGTTGATGCAGAGAAACAAACATTAGGTGTGATCTACGAGCGTGGATTGATCGGCACGTATCAAGATTGGTGTGAAGGTTTCTCAACTTATCCAAGAACTTATGATATGATTCATGCAGGAGGATTGTTCAGCTTATACGAGAACCGGTAAGTTTCATCATGGGCTTCCAACTCAAAACTAATGTCTTATAACAAACGTTGTTAATGATTGTTTAATGTTTGTCTTGTTGTAAGGTGTGATTTGACACTGAT